TYCKKYYCCTGCCCAAACCCTGTGGGGTGTGAGGAAGCCCCCAGATCCTTGTCCCTCCCAGCCTGAGGAATGTGCTCCCAGCATCCCCATTTCCATATGGAAACGCTGAGCAGTTAATCCCACTCTAATCATAAAACCACCCAGGTTGGAAAAGATTTAAATCCATCAAGGTGGCCAAGGTGACTTTTACCAAACTTCCCATCTTTCGGATCCCTTTTTGGGTCTCTTAACCCCRAAATCTCAACTCCAGCTGGCAGAATTCCCTTTTTTTTTCTGCTCAGCTCCCATAACAACAGGACGACCTTTCCCAACCATCTGCCGAGCCCTTGGAACACCGCAGGGTGGATTTTGATGGGCTTGGAGATAGATTTTTGGATTTCTCAAAATGTCAGGTGCTGCATCATCCCACCAGGGACGGGCTCAGCTTCCCCTCTTCCTTCCCCCRAGCACCTTGGGCGAGTTTTGTTTTTCAGGATTAAGGTTTAAAGGGAGTAATGGACAGGTCTGGGTGTGTTGTGATGGTGCCACTGCTGGGAATTTCCTGGGTTTGGGTGTGAAATGGGGTTTGAGCCTTCCTGTCCCTGCCCAAACCCTGTGGGATGGCCCCAACCCCATAGTTCCCAAAAATCCCTGACTGAGGAATAATGAACTCTCTGCTTTTGGGGGAAAAGCAGAGCCTGGACTGGGGATGGGCTGAGYGCACGACCCTGCACTGGGAACACCTCTTACTCTTGGAATTATTCCCATTCCTAAGGATAATCCCAGAATCTGAAGAGCTCCTGGCATTTATCCCACCTGCAGCCCCACATGCTCCAGGCTGGTTTTTGGGGTGAGGAGAAATTTGTCCCTAAGCTCCCGGCCCTTCCCTTGGCTGGGCAGTGCTGTGGTTCAGGGGTGATTTCACCCGGATTTGGGGTGGCTCAGGACCCTGTGGAGCCCCTCTGCTTCACCCCAAAATCCTCTTATCCCTGGAATCCCCAGGGATTGCTCCTTCCAGAGGGGATGCACCTGCTCTGGCACTTTTAGGGGAAAAAAGTGATGAAGAAAAGTTTAAAAATGAGGKTTTTTAAACAGGGAAGGTGCCAGGAAGTTTTCCAGTGGTTGCTCTCCCCGCTGGCACGGGCTGTGATTCCTGGCCCCAGTCCAACCACGGATTATCTCCCAATTTGGGGGATTTGGGGATTTGGGGAAGAGCTTTATCCCACCCTCCTCATCTTCAAAGAGTTTTGCAGTTGTTGGGTAATTTGCTAAATCCTCGTGATTTTTCTGTCACTTTCCCTTTTCTCCATGCCATCCGTCCTTCCAGGAAATCCCCAATGCAGCTCTTGCATCCACAATTTCCCATAAATAATAAATATCCCAATAACCCACAGTGGAGTTTCAGAATAAATATCCCAATAATTTCCATGGGGTTTCGGAACAAATATCCCAATAATCCACAGTGGAGTTTCAGAATAAATATCCCAATAATTTCTGTGGGATTTCAGAATAAATATCCAAATAATTCCTGTGATTTTTGGAATAAATATCCCAATAATTCCTGTGCGGTTTCAGGATAAATATCCCAATAATTCACATGGAGTCTCAGAGTAAATATCCCAATAATTTCTGTGGGGTTTATGAATAAATATCCCAATATTCCCCATGGGTTTTGGAATAAATGTCCCAATAATCCATGCTAGGTTTCGGGATAAACATCCCAGTAATCCCTGTGTTTTTTTGAATATATATCCCAGTAATATATATCCCAGTAATATATAACCCACTTGGGTTTTCGGAATAAATATCCCAATTTTCCCTGAGAAACGCCTATTTTCCAATGGAATTCCTCCTCCCCATGCATGTTGAGGAGGAAGGCAGTGCCATCATCATCATCACCATCCCGATTATGGCAGCAGCAGCATCTCAGGGGTTTCTGAGGTATTTCTGGGATATCACCTGTTGTTGGCTGAGGTATTTCCAGAGGAATGAACCAAAAACCTTTCTCCTGGGTTTTGAGCCTCTCCCTCTGTTTTAAGGCAGCTCTCCCAGGGGGATCCCGATGGATTTGGCATTGAAATGCTGTTCCAGGGGCCTTCCCATTGACCTATCTAGTGACCTTCCCATGCCATTGACCTTCCCATGCCATTGACCTTCCCAGTGCCTTCCCTTTGACCTTCACATTGACCTTCCCTTCCCATTGACCTTCTCATTGCCTTCCCACTGATCTCCCAGTGCCTTCACAGTGCCATCCCATTGCCCTTCCCAGTGCCTTCCCATTGACTTTCCCAATGATGTTCCCGTTGACCTTCCCATTGACCTTCCTATCCCATTGACCTTTCCATCCCATTGACTTTCCCATCCCACTGACCTTCCCATTGCCCTTCCCATTGACCTTTCCATTGACCTTTCCATCCCACTGACCTTCCCATTGCCCTTCTAATCCCATTGCCCTTCCCATCCCATTGAACTTCCCACTGACCTTCCCATCCCAGTGCCATCCCATCCCACTGACCTTCCCACTGACCTTCCCGGTGCCTTCCCAGTGCCTTCCCATTGACCATCCCAGTGCCTTCCCATTGCCCTTCTCATCGCCCTTCCCATTGACCTTCCCTTTGTCCTTCCTATCCCATTGACCTTCCCATCCCATTGACCTTCCCATCCCAGTGCCATCCCATCCCATTGACCTTCCCAGTGGCCTTTCCCATCCCATTGCCATTCCCATTGACCTTCCTGTGCCTTCCCAGTGCCCTTCCCCTCCCATTTGTTCACAGAACCCAAGTGGGTCCGGTTTATGGGGAATTCGTGTTGCAGCGGGGATATTCTGCAGCCTCCTCCCCACATCCCAGGATTTTAAAGCATCCCAGCCCCAGGAAACGCCATTCTAGCAGCTCCCAGGGACAATTTTTTAATCATTTTTTTCACAATTTCCCTTTATCTGCCGTGCTCCCCTCGGGGCCGTYCATCACCTCGGGTTTTATTGCCTCCTGTAATTGTTCCTCTGAAATCCAAGTGCGATATTAACTCAGGGATCCTCTGGAATCRCTTCCCAAGCTCATCCCCCGCCCCTGCTCTCTGGATAAACCCTGCTGGAGTTGCTTTTCATTTCGCTGTGTCAACACTGAGGGCTTTCAGCAGAGCAGAGGGGAAAAATCTGAAAAAAGATTCTCCAAAAAACATCTGCAAAAAATCTGCAGAAAACTGTAAAAACTCTGCAAAAAAATCTGACAAGAAAATCTGAAAAAGATCTGCAAAAAAAAAGTCTGCAAGAAAATCTGCAAAAAATCTGCAAAATTCTGCAAAAAATCTACAAACAAACTGACAAAAGTATCTGCAAAAGAACTGCCAAAAAATCTGAAAAAAATCTGCCAAATTGGGTTCCAGCCCTTTGTTTTTACAATTTTTGCCTTCCTGCTGCAGCTTTGTCAGCTCCTAATTTGTGCTAATTCGGGGTTTAATTCCTTGGAAT